TCACAGTTGTGGAGCCTTGAAGTTTTAGGTCAGGGTGCCAGTATGGTTGGGTTCTTGGTGAGGACTCTCTTCCCTGGTTATGTTTGTCACAAGGCCTTTTCTTGGTGTGTGCACACAGAAAGCACGTGTGTCTCCTCCTCTTTTTATGAGGACATTGATCCCATCATGTGGGCTCCATCCTCACGACCTCATCTAGGCCTAATTACCTCCTGTGATATTGTGATTTATAATAAGAAATATATATTTGGTCCTAGTCCCTGTTTCTTGCACACAGCTCCTAAGACCCTTGGAATTTCCTAAGTGTTGAGAGCAACAAAGATGTCTCTTGCTGTGTTAATCAGTTGCCACCAACCAATGATTTAATCAATCATGCCTATAATGTGAAACATCCATAAAAACCCTAAGGACTGGGCTTGGAAAGTGCTGGGAGAGTGGTGCACCTGGAGAGGGCATGGGAGCTCCATGTCCTTTCCTCATACCTTGCCCTATGCATCTCTTCCATCCTCTGGCTGTTCCTGAGTTATATCCTTTTATAATAAGCCAATAATCTAGTAAGTAAAATGTTTCTCCGAGTTCTATGAGGTACTCTAGCAAATTAATTGAACCAAGAAGGGGGTCTTGGGAACCTCTGATTTATAGCAAGCTGAGCAGAAGTACAGGTACCAACCTGGGCTTGTGAGTGGCGTCTGAAGTGGGGTTGGGAGGGCATAGTCTTGTAGGACTGAACACTTACCCTGTGGAATCTGATGCTTTCCATTGGTAGATAGTGTCAGAATTGATATGAATTATAGAACACCCAGCTGGTGTCCTGAGAATTGATTGTTGGTGTGGAGATCTGCCCTTTCCACACTGGAATTGGTACCAGAACGAAAGGCCTCACCTCAGAATACCATGTCATTTGGGATTAGGACTTTAGCTTTTGAATGTGTGGGAGACACAAACATTCAGTCCACAGCATCAGGTGAAGAACCCTGACTTAGATGAGTCTCTTCTGGAAAGCCTTCTTTTTTTTTTCCTGCTTTATCTCCCCAAATCCCTCCTGGTACATGGTTGTATATCTTGGTTGCAGGTCCTTCTAGTAGTGGCATGTGGGACGCCGCCTCAACGTGGCCTGACGAGTGGTGCCATGTCCGCGCCCGGGATCTGAACCAGCAAAACCCTGGGCCGCCACAGCAGAGCACACGAACTTAACCACTGTGCCACCAGGCCAGCCCAAAGGCTTCTTTAATCATCCCTTGTTAGTTCCTCCCCACAGGGAGTCTGTGATATCTTTTCTGTGTATTCACAGCCCCAGATACTTGCTCCCTGCTAGCACTTACTCTTTATTTGTTGTTCTTTTATACTAGACCAGGAGTCAGCAAGTGATTTCTGTAAAGGGCCAGATAGTAATATTTTAGGCTTTATGGTTCATATAGTCTCTGTCAAAATTACTCAATTCAGCCAGAAACAATATGTAAATGAATGAGCGTAATTGTGTTCCAATAAGACTTTTATGGACACTAAAATTTGTTTCGTATAATTTTCATGTGTCACGAAATATTCTTCTTTTTAAATTTTTCAATCATTTAAAAATACAAAACCCATTCTTAGCTAGTGGCCCATACAGAAACCAACCATGGGCTGGATTTGGCGTGGCTGATAGTTTGTCAGCCTCTGTGCTGGATCACACGTTTCTTGAGGGCAGGAACTGTAAATTTGTTTTCTATCCTTTACGTATAGCACCAGTGTTGGCTATATTGGTGTACAGTAAATATGGGCTGAATAAATATTTGAGTCTATAAGTGCTTTATGCCCACATATGCTTTCTCAATATAATTCCAAAATTTGAATTGGACAGCAGATGAATTCCCCGGTAGAAGAATTTAAGCCAAACCCAGCTTTGTGGTCTCTTATTTTGTGGCTCCTTCCTCTCTAATCTTGGTATCCCCTACACAAAGGCCAACCATTGCCTATGTTGAAGGTGTTCTTAATGTACTCATGCACTTAGAGATGTCAGAAGAATGGAAACTTACATATTTTCCACTGAAAATACATATTTTCACTGAATAAGTTCCACTGAACTTACATATTTTCAATGTAGTCTTAACCTGAAAAAAATGATAAATGTTTCAGCAGAGAATTTTAGATAACTTGAACAAAAATGAAAATCTCTCCCTAACAATTTCTCTGCTTTATACCCTTCAGACTCAAACGTTCAACAACAATAATCATTGTGAAAAATCACAGGAATTTTATTTGCTAAATGCTTGTTCCCTGCAGAGATTAATACACCATTTAAAAGAGTTTCATTTTTATTCTTTGAATGGTCTCTTTAAGTTATGGAAGCAACAGACTTATCCTCCAGCAGACTGTTTAAGAAGCAAGGTGTTAATCATAACTCTAATATAACCACATTTTTGATAACAAGTCAAGGTGATTATCAGTCATGCTTGCCCACCTGTAAAATGCTGACTTGACTAGTTAAGTCTATTGGCTGAATATAAAAAAGGTTTTGGCACCTTACCCAAGGTCATGGGCAAATTTTCAATCTCATCAAGCCATGCACATTATCATGCAAAATATATGAAACACAGTTTTACTTAGAGACATTTCAATAGTCCACGTAAACGAGAATCAGAACATAAATGAAAATATTGAATTCTGTAAACTTAATTTGAGAGATCATTTTTCAACAGCCATTGGTTTAGAGATTATTCATCTCAGTAGACATGGATTATGATATCTAAAATTCAGTTTAGACATTTTAATGTGACATTAGAGTCCACCTATGCTTACTTTGTTTTTCTTACAGGAGAACTTCATGTACAGAAATTACATTAGTTAACAAATATACCCAATGCTTATCAAATGAAAAAATAATACCCTGAGTGAGGGGAGCTTATAAGAAGTGAGACAAGGACTCTTCTCTGAGGGAATGTGCAGATTTATTTGTGGAAACATGATACAGCAGACACAGCAGAGATAATTAACCATATTGGTAACATGTGCTAAGTGTCAATGAGTGACACAGGTAGTAAAAGCCGTAGTTGTTCACACAATAGAAGGTTGTTCATCAGGAGGAACCAGTGACGGAGGCTGGCCTTGAAGTTTGAACTCAGACATAAAATGTTTGGTCTCAAACACACACACACACACACACCCCCCACACACACACAACACGCAGAACTGCCAAGCCTTTTCTCTTACTCCCATTGCTGCCATATTCATTAAGTCCCTCCTCTCTTGACTCCTGAATTACTGTGGCCTCTGCTTGGTCCTCTGTGCTCATCAATCCTTGTTTGAAACTGTGCATACAACATATTAGCAGAACAATTTTCCTCACACAAAACTTTCATCATATTACCACTCTGCCCTATGGTTTTTCCATAAGCTGTTATTTGGCAACACCAGTGTTGGTCTGTATTCTGCTTGACTTGTGTGTCTGAATCCAATTTATGCCCCTTCTAGATTAGTCTTTCTCATCTGTCACTGTGATCATCTCTCTGTTTAACAGCCTGTAAGAGAAACCTTCGTATATTGCTGCTAGGATTATACATCGTGAAGACTTTCTGCTGGGCAAAGTCTTAAAATATGTGTATACTTTACTTCTCTTAGATATTCTGCTTCTAATCATTCCTTTGAGGTGCATTTTAAACATATATGTATGTAATAGTACAACTATTTTTATTGCCCCTATTTTTAAAATAACAAACTCGGTTGATGTATCCTAATTTGTCCTTTGGAGGGAGGCATTTCTATACTGGAAGTACCTAAGAAACATTAAGAATGATAATGAATATAGAAAATTTTGGGGTTTTTCTTGTAAGGATTTAAAATATCGATCTATTGCATTCACTGAACTTAGTCTGAGACCTATGAAGAAGAGAGAATTGTATTCTTCCATCTTTCTCTGTTTTTGGCTCATTAAACTATATCCTGGCCCCATTCACTGATCTTTCTAAAACCTCTGAATAGCCCTTCTCTACCCCATATCCCATGGGTATGATGTATGAATTGGCTTTCTTAGTTCATGTGTTAACTTAAAATATTTTCAAGAGGAAGATGGGCACGGATGTTAACTCAGGGCCAGTCTTCCTGAGCAAAAAGAGGAGGATTGGCGGCAGATGTTAACTCAGGGCTAATCTTATTTAAAAAAAAAAAAAATTCTATTGTGAAAATTTGCAAATACACATAACAATAGAGCATAGTAAAATAACCCTCTTGTATGCCCATCACACAGATTCAATTACCAAGATTTTTAGTGCACTCTTCTTTTAAAACATAAGTTTATCTTGATATATTGTTCTGTTGCACTATTACAGCTTTCTTTTCTAAAACTTGTCTTTTAGTCATGTGCTTAATAGATCAAATGGTGAAATTCTGTGGTATTCAGTCTTAATACTTAATTATTCACTGTCAAAGACAGTGGTAGGTAAGAGTAGAAATTAAAATTCAACAAACATACCTAATATAACTTCATAGGGTAAATTTGGGCACAGGTTACGATTTGTAAAATGAGCTTTGTGTAGAAATTCTTGTGGAATTATCATTTCTATTATATTAAATTTGTCCCGAAACCTGAAACTTGAATTTTCACCTCTACTTTTTGCAATTAAAATGTGATCATATGAGTCATTAACACCATTCTGGATAATTACCAGGGAGTGTTAATACTTATGAACCTCTCTTTCTTTTCATTCAATTTTCTTCATATATGGTCTTGGAATTACTAAATATTTTCAATGTGTGTACTTAGGCATTCTCATCCTTTAAGGACATAACAGCAACAGGAACCTTTCTCTTGGACAATAATATGAGTATGGAAAATTATGAAGCATATTTTGCCTGTAAGAATACTTGCCTTCTTAATGAAATAGAATGGCATTATGATCTTAGCTTTCAATGAAGGTTAATCATTTTCATACTTCTCACAAATAACTCATCTCTTTTGTATGATATAGTTCACAGTTGAATTGTCTAATTAATTTTTCCTTGTTTGTTTTCTTTTTCTTTTTCTCCAGCTCTTGTAAATGTGAAACTCTGGGCCATTGATCGACAATGTTTTCAAACAATAATGATGAGGACAGGACTGATCAAGCATACCGAGTATATGGAATTTTTAAAAAGGTGGGATGCTTTCTTTTCTCCTTCTGAGAGCACTTACTGTCTTTTCAACTCTCTTCTCCGAAAGGCAGCACAAGGAAGACTTTTTGCTTTTATCTCAGCCTTAATAGCCTACAAATTTGCAAAAGTGCATGACTTTGGTCTGACTTCTTTCTATTTCTAGTGCCAATTTTCATATGTGGTTAAGCCAGAACTTCAGTTTCATTCAACATTCTCTTGTAGAAGAGTGCAGCTCAGAGAAACAAATGACAATTTGCCTGAACAAAAAAAGATATTGAGTCCATCTCTGACTAGTGTGTATCAGCTAATATATTTATGGTACCTCTTCTAAAGCAACCCAAGGTATAAGACTGAATCATCTCTTATGTGAGGTTCCATATTAAAGGTCAGATGACTAAGATGGAAAAGTTCCGAGAAGCTTATTATCCTTTAATCCTCAGTTTAATTTCCCAAATTAAATTCATTTTATGTTACAGTTTTGAAATAGCAAAAGCTTTTCTTTTCTTGATGCTATATATTATCATAATAACTCAATATAGCATGGAAATTGGAATAAAAACCCAGCTTTTCATTTCTTAGAAATACACTGATATTCACTGAAATGCATTTCTTTTTCTCTAAGCTTATTTTATTTTGAAGAAATGTATTATTGTAGAATTAAAAAGAATATTGGCAACTCTGATGACTTTGTTTCAAAAAGTAGTTATTTTGTATCATTTTCTTTTGAAAATAGAGCCATCATTAAGCAGCGAGGCATAGATTATGTGAGCTAAAGGGGAATGAGTGTAACACCAATTAAGATTTCATTTTTGAGAGCTAGAATATTAAACTAGCCTTTTCATTTTGTATTTTCATTTTTGGTGAAAAATAGTTTAAATGGAGCTAAAAAATGAAATTCACATTTTGTTTCAGTGCTACATCTTAATAGATACCTACTGAATTTTCTTAAGATGTAATTTCAATAATCCTTACTTGGGTATTTATTGGGATTAATTTATTTTGATTATGATTCATTGTTTATACATTTTTAATTTCCACACAAAATTTTTTCTTCATATTCCTTCTGAAGGGACAATAAAATTCTAATTAGATGCCAAACAATAAGATATTAAAATGCTACTGTATCAGGACGGTGTTGGTTTTTTTCTTCACTGTCATTGAGTGAAACATTTAGGAGAGGTGGAAATGTAAATTTCTGTTTGGAGTTTAATATAATTTGCAAGGAAATTAAATTATTCAGGTGCCGTGGGTGTGTGTTGATATTGATATATATATATATATATATATATATATATGTATATATGTTGAGATGTATGTGTTAATATATACATTGATAGATGTATATAGAGAGATAGTTGTGTGTGTATGTGAATGTTATGGAGAGGGAGAGACAAAGAGAATGAATACTCATTTTTAAGCCATTATTTAAAGCATAAGTTATTGATTTTTTCTGATGCAGCCCTAATAAAGAAAGATTCCAGTTAGTAATCAATGAAATGCTTACTTCTAGGACAAAGCCCATTATTTGTCTGATGTGCCTAAGCGCTAGGCACTTATGATGTTGGTTTTAGCTTCCATAAATTTGTCCTCCCAAGGAAATGGAATGAATGCCAATGCTGTCTTGCATGACTCGAACAAAAAAATTTTTTAAGAAGAACCATTTGAGGGAATGGACATGTCTCATTGTGTTTTTGCTTTTCTTTTCATTGACCCTGAATATATTGTTATTTTTATATTATTCTCAGAGTTGCCTAAATTTGTGTTATCAATTCTGACAATTCAAACTTTCAACAGTAAAAGTCGGTTTGCCAGAGTGCGTGCACATTTCTTATTGGTTAGCTTAGAGCGGGTAAAGTTTAATGGGTTGAATACAAAAGAGGAGGGCTGTGACTTTGATGTCACTTTTCATTTGGCCACTCTGTAAAATATCAAGTCCACATCATTTCTGAATGTAGTACTGGACTCAGAGTCCAGAGAGGTGACACAATGACCTCATTGCCTAGGGCCAGCTTGAATCTTCCTAAATCATGGCTGTGACCAGCTGGTTCTCTCCGTAACCCTTCAGTGGCTCACAATTCCTGTTGAATTATGTACAGCCTCATTAGCTGCATATTCAAGACCCTCCCATAGTGCAATGCCAGCCTGCTGTCTCACCTTGGTTTCTTCTTGCCCCAGGCAAACCAAAGGATTCCATGTGCCTGGGCAGTCCCTGTGTTTTTACACAGTATACTGCCTCTGTTGCCTTTTTCCTCACCATCTGTGTTCAGATCTCTCTGTTCTTTTTAGATCCATCTAAAAGCTTCCTTTTCCGCAGATACTGACCTCATTGCACTGAGGAGTAACCTCTCCCTCCTCTGGAGCTTCATCTCTACCATGAGTGTCATTTTCTACTATGGTTTATTATAATCTGGCTACTAAACTTATTTTGACTTCTAGACTATAAACTTTTCAGAACTGGAGCTATTTCTTAAGCGTCTTGGTATTTCTTCTTTGGCACAAAACTTACTGCTTTATAGATAGGCAGTTTATCGGACAACAAATGCAGGGCCAGTACGTAATTTGCAGGTCCCAGTGCAAAATGAAAATCCAGGGCTCCTTTTCCAAAAATTGTTAAAAATTTCAAGACATTGACAGCATAGTATTGAAGCAAGTATAGGAATCTCCTAAGCTTGGGCCCTGTGCTATTGCACAAGTTGCACACTCGTGAAATTGAAAGAGTGAATAATATTCATTCCTCCTTCACATTCCCAGATTGACTATACTTGCTACTGTTTATTTTGCAAGACTATTAAGAGATGGCATAATATCCCCAAAGGAAATAATGATAGATATTGCTAAAAACTCAGATGACAAAAATTTATTAAAATTTTCTACCATAACTTCAGAATTGTTTTCATTTCCTGGTTTATTGTTGATTTTTAAAAATGTTGCTTACCACTGTTTTACATCATGTAAAATTTTTAAAGTTTTATATAGTCAAGACAATCAACTTTTCATGTTTAAAAAGGCTCACCTACCTTAACATTATAAAACTACAGACTTAATACTTGAAAGTTCTGTATAGTGATCTGTGGTGGGGGGGGTGTTTTTCTCTAATGTGTTTGCTAAATAAAACTTTCATTTGATATTTTTTGTGATGGATATCATATACTTTATATTTTATGGAGGAGTTAAGGGGATAAAGCAATTGTGACACTATCAGAAAAATAAAAACTCTAGCAAGTGATATTACAAATCATCAGAATTCTTCACTGTAGGGGTTGCTATTGTGCATTGGAATGCCTTCCTAATTGAGGCATTTTAGGGTCAGTGACAGGCTAAAAGAGGAATGATCCTATATCTCTGCTCATCTCCCCATATTACTCTTCCTCTTCCTTTTTCTAAATAAGCATGTAAGTTTGGAGGATGAGAAAAAGTAATACACCAGGCATGTAAATGCACTGCTAATGTGCAAGGATTTTTCTTCATTGTCAAAGTTGGTTTTTGTTTTCATTCCAGTGTGTTTACCGATTTTGTAACTACCAGTCATGTGGTTTGGCCCTCTTTTTGCTATTAAATGCCACATCAAACTGTGATTCTGGCTCTGTAATCCTGTTTTGTCGTTTCTCTTTTGTGCCTGTATTCCGCATTCCCTCATGTAAACACAGATGTTCCCATGCAAGCATAGCAAAAAAAATATTCAAGGGATAGTGCTATTAAGCAAGGCAGGATTGCTATAGGTCCAGTAGCAATTCTCCCAGTTGCCAGCATTTTCCATTTTCCTTGGCTACTGAAAAGTGCTGTTGGTTTTAAGATGGATTCTGAAAAATGGGCCAAATAACTGCCAGAGTTAATTTGTGTTGCTTTTTTCCGAGCATTTTCTCTATGCTGCTGTTGGCACTGGCATCTATAGCCAGAACAGCTTTAGAATGCAGCTGTGTACCCCTGGAATGTGCTTGTAGGAACTGGGTTTCCTATTGGTCCCAGACTGATGATGATGACGACAATGATGATGAACTATTTATATCACTTGCCTCACTGACAAATCACAGGCATAGCAGGGAATGCTTGGAGCTTAAGCTACTCAGTTGATTCCACTGACAGTCACAAAACTTTTCTTCATCTACTAGGGAATCTTATGGCAAGTCAGTTATGCTCATGTCATCTGCCTGCATAAAACCTTTCCATGACTTCTCATCACTCCTAAGATAAAGCCTAGTCTTTGTCATTGTCTTCAAAGCCTTCCTGCCCTGAGTCATCTCACTGAATATCTTCTCCTTCCTCATTCTCTCATTCTCTCTTTGCTCCAGTCGCTTGGTAGATTGTCATTTCCTTATATGCTCCGTGCTCCCTCCCAGTGGAGATCATCCCAAGGGACTCCTCTCCCTTCGAATGAATATTTATCAGGGTGATCTGTGGGGTGGCACATGAGGTATGCCTGCTGTGGCAGCAAATAGGATCTGATATCTCTCAAGACAGTTATAAATTTCTGATTTCCCTCCCCTGAGTTGAAAGGGGCATCAATAATATTAGCCACCAAGTTTCACACTGTGTTTTCAGTAACTAGAATTTTAAAGTTTGGAGGCTTTGAAGGTCTTTGGTGATTATTTGGTTCTCAGCTGACTTTTCAGCCATTAAGGGACTTGGAGGTATTTTTCACTTTTAAAACTACCAGTCGTGAGGTTTGGTCCTCTTTAGGCAGAAGCGTAGACCTGCCCCACGAATCCCTGATCACTGGAAGCTAATTTCTAACAAAGCCCGAAGCTAACAGCTCCCTATAAGGGCCTTAGCAGCAACCACGTACAAGGAGTCAAGAAGAGGAGTGGGCCTCGGGTGAATCTAGAGCTACTCTGATGATTCTTCCTTCAGCCACAGCGTCCTTGTTGAAAAGCCCTGCTAGATTTCGGTGCTGTGTAAAGATCCTTATTCCTTATCTCTATGACTAGGGAGTAAGCCCCAAGTCTAGTTTGTTCTTCCCCCTTATTCTCTAAAACTGTAATACTTGTATACACATGTAACACGTG